GTGGAGCCCTGATAATAACCCCTCCTTACCACTAATACCAAAGGTGCTGCTATAACAAGCTTATATGGAAAGTTCTCGCCTGACTGAGCACGGTGGGCTTGAGAGGCGCAATGCGAAAAAAAAAAAAAATAGTTCTGTCCAACAAGCCTTCTTTTTTTCCTAAAATAGATCATATTTGCTTTTCAAAGAGCTGCTGCAGCGGTTGCACACGGCCAGTCTATGCTAGACCTTCCTGACAAGTGTAGCAGCAGGTAGCACCATCTATTAGACAACGAGACTTACTGATGTCTGCTTATTTGCACCCCAGACGGTAGGAGAGAAAAAAAAAAAAAACCCAGACGTCTGAAAGGCTTCGTCTGTCTCGTTAGATGAGGACGCAGGAATCGCAATGAATTGCCTCGCAGACCTCTGCGCAGCCTGATAACAATAAGAACCACTTTCGGCAGCTTCTGTTTGCTGCATGTTTGACTCATAAGACAGTTAGAAAGTCAGACGAATTTCAAGCAATTCAAGGCAGCTTACCGGCTTATGTGGAGCCAAGTGCGGTCAACCACCCCAGCCTATCAGAAACTGCGGCTTTGGCTTATTGCGTTGATTTGGACACCTTTTTTTTTTTGTTGCTCCATCATATAAACTGAAATGATCCACACTGTGAAGAGTCAGCTGATCCCCTTGTTTATAGGAAAGTGAGGAAATATCAAATATTATATGTATGCATTTAACAAACCAATACATTCAATTGCATGACAGCAGCAAACTACTTAGTCCCATCGTCGCCGTTATCACAACTATTTGGCTTTTCTGGTACCTAAACTATACAGAGAGGCCTCACTATGTATTTTAGGGTTGAACAGGTATAAATTATTAATAAGCGAGTACAGAGCAGATACTGAAATCATCACATATCCCCTCTCCTTCCCAAAAAAAAAGGGGCTTAGTTAGTAAAGCAACAGTACATTGTGGAAATCGCCCACGGAAACCGGTCCTATTGTTGCTAAGAGTTACTGCATCATCGAGTTAATCAGAATCACATTCTGGCCATAGCAATTGGATCTGAAATGTACTTGCTTTATCAGATTGACTAGTGATGGGGTCTGACACTTTCTAGTTCCAAATAAGCCCCCCCATTGACCAAGGGTTATTTAATCCTCAAGTGGTCATTAGAATGAGATTCTGGCCATAGTGATGGGGGTCTAAGGGTTATTGCATCATCAAGGGGTAATCAGATCGACATTCTGGCCATAGTCATGGGGTCCAAGGGTTATTGCATCATCAAGGGGTAATCAGATCAACATTCTGGTCATAGTGATGGTGGTCCAAGGGTTATTGCATCATCAAGGGGTAATCAGATCGACATTCTGGCCATAGTCATGGGGTCCAAGGGTTATTGCATCATCAAGGGGTAATCAGATCAACATTCTGGTCATAGTGATGGTGGTCCAAGGGTTATTGCATCATCAAGGGGTAATCAGATCGACATAATAGCCATAGCGATCAGATCTGGAACTTAGTAGTTCTAAATAAGTCCCCCCAATTGACCAAGGATTCTGCATCATCAAAGTATTTATCAAACTGACTAGTGATGGTTTCTGACACTTGCTAGTTCTAAATAAGCCCATCATTGACCAAGGGTTATGACGTCATCAGATTGACATACCAGCCATACCGATCAGATCGGACACTTGCTAGTTCTAAAAAAACTCCCCATTGACCAACGATTATTACATTTTCATCATCAGATTGACATACCAGCCATACCGATCAGATCTGACACTTGCTAGTTTCAAGGGTTATTCTATCATCCAGGAGTAATCAGATCGACATACCAGTCCCAGCAATGGGATCTGACAATTGCTAGTTTTAAATACACCCTGCTAATGACCAAGGGGTTCTACATTATCAAGGTATTTATCAGACTGACATTCTGGCCACAGTGATGGTGTCTGACACTTGCTAGTTCTAAATAAGCCCCTCGTATTGACCAAGGGTAATTGCATCATTGAGATTGACCACAGGTCTGACACTTGCCAGTTCTAAATACTCCCTCCTAATGACCTATTGTATTTACGCCGAAACACGCACGGAGCCAAAAAAAAGTCTTGAAGGGCATAGAATGTAGGAAGTTTAAAACAAAATAAATCTAATTTTCTTACACAAAGCAATAAAAGATACAAATGCAGACGGAGAAAATAAGTTACAAGCAGCCTGTTTCCTAAAGAAAAACAAAAAGGAGAAGCCGAATGGATGATGTGGCAGCCTGAGAGATCTGTGACACATAAATGTGACTTCCTAGGAAGCGTCCTCAATTTTAAATGACTTGGAGGTATGTTAAAGCAAAGTCTGTACCCTATGGTTTAATGGCAGGTTGTTGCTAGAGGTAGATGACACATGCAAGGCAAAAATCACCAAAAGGGTGACAGTGGACATATCCACCTTAAAGGAGGTTTGTTGCAGTTTCCAACTTAGAGTCATGCCGGTAAATGTTCTAAAATCTGTTCTGATCGGACAGCACAAACGAGAGTCAACAAGACAGGAGACGCAGTAAGCAAGACGGACAATTTGCAGTAACCCACGGCAACCATCCATCAGTTTACAGCAGCTAGAAGAGGGAAAGAGAACCGGCTATCTTTGCTTTAAGGATTCGGAATATAGCAAATGTGCAACTGCTGAACTAAAAACATAAAAATTCTTTCTACATGCACTGATACGGGATCGCTGAAAATAATGCAAAGTTATCAAATAATGCCCCCAAAATACTTTCATCAGGGGTGCAAGTAAATACAATCTCTGACCTAGCCTAGCAGGACAGAAAGTAAACAAAACACAAGTTCTGCAATCCGACCGGCTGCTGTTTTTTTTGTTGATCCGACAGATCTCCCGAAAATGGCCTCCTTAATATTTTACAGTTTTAATATTCTAACAAGCAGCTTAGACTGTGAAGGTTTTAGCACTGCTGCAGTTTGATATCGCAGATGTTTCTGGGAGGAACTGAAAGTTCCAGGTGTGCCGGTCCGGAGTAGAAGGGCACGCTGGGAGTTGTAGTTCCTCAACAGCCTAAGGACTACAGGTCTTCCACAACTATCGACCACAGATCTCTATAGAGCTCTGTATACATAATCCGGTGAATGAACTGTCACTGGAGCTGTTGATTTTCATTTAAAAACAGAAATGTGCAAAATTTATTTTAAAAAAAAAAAAAATCCCAAAAGACTTTTACGATTTATTCTGCAATCGTAAAATAAAACAAAAAAAAAAGATTTGTAGCAGCACAGATAAAAATGACAGAACTGAGTATCTGGCAAGTATATTGTTTAAAGAAAAATCGTCCAGGAACCGGGTCATTTAAGGTGACGCCGCCTGATTTTATAAAACCCTGCGTCATCGTTAAAACGCTGCTACAAAAAAAAAATAATTGAGATTCCTTTCCAGCCAAAATGGTAATTGCATATTTTTACTAAAGAGACTATTAGACAGTTAAACAGAAACCCCAAGAAGTCGGCTCTAATTATCTGCTTCTTGCCCTGACACTTTCTGTGTTAAGTGCGTGGGAATTAACACAAACCAACCCAGATTAAAAGGGGAAAAAAAAAAAGAAGACGACACTTGAAACTGCGGCACCTCATTTTAACCCCACGTTAAAAAAAAAAAGACAACAAATGTCATCTAAACACCGATATAAACATCTTTATGTTCAATGAGGCAACTTTTGCATTGTTTCCCTTACCGATCCTGCTTAATTGTTACGTGATCCGAAACAGATTTAGGATTTTTTAAATAAAAAAAAGAAAAAAAAAGGAAGAAATGGAAAGAGAGAGGGGGAGGGGGGAGAGCCTCCGGGTCTACGGTTTTATCTATTGCTTCTTGCGGTCGGGGGCTCTTTAAGTAAACTGTTCGCCTGCGAAAAGCTAGGGACCTCTTGTCGATTGCTAAAGACTTTGTTAACTCTTAAAACTTACGCAACTGACAGTTGATGCTGAACTTCCTGAAAAAAGCCCATAAAAAAATAAAAGAAAACATTGGGCAAGATTTTTTTTTGAAGTCTCCCTCTTAAAAAAGTGTTACCACAACATTCCAGATTCCAAAGAAACGGTGATCAATCATTAAGCAATCTACGCAAAAGGGAGAAAAAAAAAAAACAGACGTTGCGTCAGTGTCGCAGACACGGCTGAGGTCATTGTCGCTTGCTCTCTAATCTGAGGCAAGAGGGGAGAATATAAAAGAAAAATCGACATAAAAGGACACGGAACGTCGGAGAATTCTAAAAAGGCAAAAAGTTAAGGGATGGAAGGAAAATGACAGAAGGAGACAGAAAGTCTCTGGAAAAAAAAAAAAAGTAGGAGAGAGAGAGGGGTAAAAAAATAAAAAAAATAAAAAAACTCCTGGAACTCTTATTTAGGTCTTTGCCGTTTCCTTGACATGAAAAAAAAAAGAAAACAAATACAAAATAAAAATAAAAATCTCCTCTGAGAAGTTCAGCAACTCCAAATATTTTGGATACATCCATAAACAAAAGGTTTGGTTTATGTACAGTTGTCACAATAAAGTCATTTAAATGGACGCTTTGACTTCCTCACCACACCAGGGATAATTTAAGTGACAGAAAGGGGGGGAGAATACTCCCTCCCTTGGAAAAAAATCAGAGCCCTTCTCTGTCACAACACAAGCCCAGTTAAACTGGATCATTGTGGAGAGAAGAGACCGAAGAAATGTAGAAGAGCTTTTAGGAAATATTAGATACATTGTAGCAGATCTGAGCAACCCCCCTCCTCCTTCCTTCCTCCTCCTATACATTGTACAGCAAACTTCACAGAAACTTTTCCAAGTCGGCAACAGAAGCAGCAGGGACAACCAGACCAGAAGCTTCTCAGCTGCTCTGGAACTACGAGAGCCAGTGTGTCATAACAGGAGGGTAGACAGGCTGGTACTTGTAGTCCCACGGCTGCTTAGAACGCCAAAGTTGTGATAGAAGAAATAAATAAAAAAGAAGAGATGGTACTTACTGATCTCCATGCTCTGGAATAAAGACCTTTTACAGTTGCATGTGCAGGAGACATTGGAGTGGGTGGTGGTGCTGGTACCGTTCAGACCCATCAAGCTGTACATGGAGGTGCTCCAGGCAGAATCTGGGCTCACTCGGTGGCACAGGGCACCGGCTGCGGGGACATGGCAGGGAGCAGGGCAGGATCTGATCGGTGGCGGAGGAAGAGAGTTACTTCGTATCAGTCCCAGGCTGGAAAAAAGAAGGGAGGGCGGTGGGGAGTTTAGCAAGCTGATCAGTCCCTTTTTTTCTCTCTCTCTTTGGGCTGCTGGAAGTCCCCAGGCTCTGGTTTAGTCCCTGTTTGCCCCAGTGCCTGGCTGGGCTGCTGGAAGGAGAGCAGTCAGTAAACTCCCCGGTCTTGTCTTCCTTCCCCCTCCTCAAGTCCAAGGAGATTGCCTTACAGCTGGATCCAACCCCAGGCAGCCAGACGGGCCGTGACGTCAGCGCCAGACTGGGACTGCCCTTCCACCGCACGGGGGCGGGGCTGAGGGGGCGCTCTGACTGACGGCCTGCTCCACCACTCACAAGCCGGTGAGTGGGCGGGCGAAGCTCTTAAAGGGACAAGCGGCCGGTAAGACTCAGACTAGCCAACAGAGGGAGAATAAGCAAGAGGGAACTTGTCTGGAATTTTTTTTTCTTCTTTCCTTTGACATGAAATTTCTGGTGAGTTTGAAAGGATCATAAATACGCAGAATGTTCTTACGGTGGAATTACATAGTGTAGGAGTTCAATTATTTAAATATATGTATTCGTTCCTATGTCCATTTGCAGCCCATTGCTGTGGCTCGTCTGTGATTTCTGGACAGCCAGGGCAAGAGCAGACACTGGAACTGTGAAACATTGCCTCACATTGAATGACCGGGACAGGAGGCCGTGGAGAATCGCCAAAACACTGACAGCAAAATACCAAATGGGTTTTACCCCGACCCCCTCCTCCCTACCTGCAGAAAATTCTGCTTAAAATGCACATAAAACTGCGCTCTGGGCACAAAAACGCTCATTTATATTTATTGCTCAATAGCCACAAAGTATATAAATCCACTCCCATTCCACCAAATGGCTCTGCAAACCCAGATATTACCTTATACATTGAGCAGTGACATCATCACTGTACTGTACATAGCCTGAGCAACCCTAAGGCCCCACCTAGTACAGGCTGCCTGCAGAAAACTACAGGGGGGGGGGGCGGAGACAAGACCAGTCACCCTGCATAAGGAGAGAGGGCAGCAGTGACCGTTCTTTATTACAGGAGGGGGCGGAGACAAGACCAGTCACCCTGCACAAGAAGAGAGAGCAGCAGTGGGCGGTCTTTATTACAGGAGGGGGAGGAGACAAGACCAGTTACCATGCACAAGGAGAGAGCAGCAGTGACCGGTGTTTATTACAGAAGGGGGCGGAGACAAGACCAGTCACCCTGCACAAGGAAAGAGAGCATTAGGGACTAGTTTTTTATTACAGGAAGCTCCAAATCTCACACTGGAGTGCTACACAGTTCTGAAGGAAATACACAAAGCTCACCAAGATTCAAGAAGAATACACAGGACTCTTAGTAGATGATATTTGCTTATCCTTATTTTTGCCCATATCACACAGTAGCTACGGCAGGCTGCCCATATCACACAGTAGCCGGGAGAGGCCGCTCATATCACACAGTAGCCAGGAGAGGCTGCCCAGATCACACAGTAGCCAGGAGAGGCTGCCCAGATCACACAGTAGCCAGGAGAGGCTGCCCAGATCACACAGTAGCCAGGAGAGGCTGCCCAGATCACACAGTAGCCAGGAGAGGCTGCCCAGATCACACAGTAGCCAGGAGAGGCTGCCCAGATCACACAGTAGCCAGGAGAGGCTGCCCAGATCACACAGTAGCCAGGAGAGGCTGCCCAGATCACACAGTAGCCAGGAGAGGCTGCCCAGATCACACAGTAGCCAGGAGAGGCTGCCCAGATCACACAGTAGCCAGGAGAGGCTGCCCAGATCACACAGTAGCCAGGAGAGGCCGCCCATATCCCACAGTAGCCAGCGCAGGCCGCCCATATCACACAGTAGCCAGGGCAGGCCGCCCATATCACACAGTAGCCAGGGCAGGCCGCCCATATCACACAGTAGCCAGGGCAGGCCGCCCATATCCCACAGTAGCCAGGAGAGGCTGCCCAGATCACACAGTAGCTACGGCAGGCTGTACATATCACACTGTAGCCAGTGCAAGCCGTACATATCACACAGTAGCCAGAAGAGGCTGACCATATCACACAGTAGCCGGGAGAGGCCGCTCATATCACACAGTAGCTAGGAGAGGCTGCCCAGAGCACACAGTAGCTACGGCAGGCTGTACATATCACGCAGTAGCCAGAGCAGGCCGCCCATATCCCACAGTAGCCAGGAGAGGCTGCCCAGAGCACACAGTAGCTACGGCAGGCTGTACATATCACACTGTAGCCAGGGCAAGCCGTACATATCACGTAGTAGCCAGGACAGGCTGTACATATCACGCAGTAGCCAGAGCAGGCCGCCCATATCCCACAGTAGCCAGAGCAGGCCGCCCATATCCCACAGTAGCCAGGGCAGGCCGCCCATATCACACAGTAGCCAGGAGAGGCTGCCCAGATCACACAGTAGCTACGGCAGGCTGTACATATCACACTGCAGCCAGGCCAAGCCGTACATATCACACAGTAGCCAGGAGAGGCTGGCCATATCACACAGTAGCCAGGGCAGGCCACCCATATCCCTTAGTAGCCCGGGCAGGCCGTACATATCACACAGAGGCCAGGAGAGGCCACCCAGATCGCACAGAGGCCAGGAGAGGCCGCCCAGCTCACACAGTAGCCAGGAGAGGCCGCCCATATCACATAGTAGCCAGGACAAGCTGTACATATCACGCAGTAGCCAGGGCAGGCCGCCCATATCACACAGTAGCCGGGAGAGGCCGCCCATATCACACAGTAGCCGGGAGAGGCCGCTCATATCACACAGTAGCCAGGAGAGGCCGCCCAGATCACACAGTAGCCAGGAGAGGCCGCCCAGATCACACAGTAGCCAGGAGAGGCCGCCCAAATCACACAGTAGCCAGGAGAGGCCGCCCAGATCACACAGTAGCCAGGAGAGGCCGCCCAGATCACACAGTAGCCAGGAGAGGCCGCCCAGATCACACAGTAGCCAGGAGAGGCCGCCCAGATCACACAGTAGCCAGGAGAGGCCGCCCAGATCACACAGTAGCCAGGAGAGGCCGCCCAGATCACACAGTAGCCAGGAGAGGCCGCCCAGATCACACAGTAGCCAGGAGAGGCCGCCCAGATCACACAGTAGCCAGGAGAGGCCGCCCAGATCACACAGTAGCCAGGAGAGGCCGCCCAGATCACACAGTAGCCAGGAGAGGCCGCCCAGATCACACAGTAGCCAGGAGAGGCCGCCCAGATCACACAGTAGCCAGGAGAGGCCGCCCATATCACACAGTAGCCAGGGCAGGCCGCCCATATCACACAGTAGCCAGAGCAGGCTGCCCATATCACGCAGTAGCCAGGGCAGGCCGCCCATATCACACAGTAGCCAGGGCAGGCCGCCCATATCACACAGTAGCCAGAGCAGGCTGCCCATATCACGCAGTAGCCAGAGCAGGCTGCCCATGTCACGCAGTAGCCAGGGCAGGCCGCCCATGTCACACAGTAGCCAGGAGAGGCCACCCAGATCACACAGGAGCCAGGAGAGGCTGCCCATATCACACAGTAGCCAGAGCAGGCTGCCCATATCACGCAGTAGCCAGGGCAGGCCGCCCATATCACACAGTAGCCAGAGCAGGCTGCCCATATCACGCAGTAGCCAGAGCAGGCTGCCCATATCACGCAGTAGCCAGGGCAGGCCGCCCATATCACACAGTAGCCAGGAGAGGCCACCCAGATCACACAGGAGCCAGGAGAGGCTGCCCATATCACACAGGAGCCAGGAGAGGCCGCCCAGATCACACAGGAGTCAGGGCAGGCTGTACATATCACACAGTAGCCAGAGCAGGCCGCCCATATCACATAGTAGTCAGGACAAGCTGTACATATCACGCAGTAGCCAGGGCAGGCCGCCCATATCCCACAGTAGCCAGGAGAGGCCACCCAGATCACACAGTAGCTACGGCAGGCTGTACATATCACACTGTAGCCAGGAGAGGCCACCCAGATCACACAGTAGCCGGGGCAGGCCGTCCATATCACACAGTAGCCAGGAGAGGCCACCCAGATCACACAGGAGCCAGGAGAGGCTGCCCATATCACACAGTAGCCAGGAGAGGCCACCCATATTACACAGTAGCCAGGCCAGGCCGTACATATCCAACAGTAGCCAGGGTTGGCAATGCATATCCCACAATAGCCAGAATGAACAGCGTATGTCACACAGTCGGACTGAAAAGCACATAGATCAAAATGGGAACCAGTTAAACAGTTCATTTTAAACAGTTTTACCTTTTAGCACAACTGCTGGCGGCAATTTCTCTCCATATTTTTGGCATGGTCTCATACTTTCAGTAGAGAGACCATGCAGGAGGACCTTCATGAAGATGGTTGGCACACTTCTTCTCCTGGCCACACTTGACATGAGTCCCTATATCTAAGTACGCTGGTGATAAAACAGAAGACGTTCTGGTTAGAGATAAGAAGTTAGTTTCAAAAGAATGAATATTTCTATGGCAGCCTCTTACCTCGGTGTTGGTTCTTTATAACGCCGTACAAGTCTCCTTCCTCAGGTCTGGACTGACCGGGCCTTTGGTTTAGTAGAATTTGTACATACGAGTGTACGGTGATGCCACATTTGTCTTTTCAGTCACGGAGCCACTTAGGGGTTCGTCGCTCCTCAGTGCGGAGGTCCACTCGGGGCAGGCAGAGAAAGAGGCCTGCAATATCAATGCAGGCTGGAACCGCAGTCAGTGTTCAGTTCAGAGAGGTGCAGTACTGATCGCTTGCTGAGCCCTTTGGCGCCATTTATTATTACACAGGTAGTATGCACTTTGCCAGAGCCACATGACTACCCTATTGGCACAGCACGACGGTATAAACATTCACCGCGCTGTAAAAAAAAATGCAGGTTCCAGGGCAATGACGCAAAACGCTTTCAGTGACATCTTCTCCACACCACCGTATGCAAGCACGGCTTGCTGAAGACACTCGCATTTGTTAAGAGTACATTGAGGTTTAGAGGATGAGCAAGAGGTGCACAGGGGACTTCAACACTTTGATTTAGTTTTGTTGGCTTTAACTTTAAGATTTCCCCTCACTTCCTGTTCTGGTGTCCACCAGACAGGAAGTGAGGGGTAAGCTAAAAACGGGGACATAGCAATAAAACAAGACAAGTGGTCTAGTCTTCTTCTACTCTACTAACAAAATGTTATGTCTGTTGGAGATTTACTCACTTCCTGTATGGGGGAAACTTGTCATCAGGGCAGGAAGTG